TTTAATTCATTTAATGTTTTTTTTTTAATATTTATTACTGACATAAACAGACATTACTTATTGCACAAATCCTTTAACTGTGCAAACTGATGCATACACGCACAAAAACCTGAATACAAAACCCAAACACACGACTCTTCCACTCAACAAGCCCGAACTGAACAGACGCTGTGAAAACTCATGCTGACTGACATCAACATGTTCAAACCGCATCCAAACACATATATTCATATAAATGCTGGAGAATGTTGCATCTAAATGTTTTGAGTGACTTTAATGTCACTTATTTATCAAATTACCCACACTAGCCAATAAACCGGACCCGTCTTCTGTGTGCGTCTCAAACAGACTGACGCTTTTCAACACAAAACGGCACAGAGCGATATGCAGACAGAAGAGGACAATGAGACACACACACATCTTACCCTCCACATTACCAGCCGCATCTTTGAGCAAATAAGAGCAGAGGTACAACAGAAGACAACAGCATCAGCGCGTGTTAGAGGAAACCGTCTGGGATCATGCAGGAGTGTGTTATTCATCAAAACACCCTCATATGAACATGATATTTTGTATGTCAAAATTGTGTTTCAAAAAAACTGTGTGTATCCCGCATTATGTGTAGTGACTTTACAGAAAGTGTGCTAGTTCAGGAAATAAACTGAGTCAAAATGTTTAATTTGGTCATTTGTAAACTTAAATAATGTGTTATTCTATCATGAGACAATAGAATATCATTTAAAAGAACATGATCTTTACTTAATATCCTAATGATTTTTGGCATAAAAGAAAAATCTATAATTTTGACCCATACAATGTATTGTTGGCTATTGCTACAAATATACCCCAGCGACTTAACACTGCTTTTGTGCTCCAGGGTCACATATTTCTTCTTCATTTTGAAGTCCACTATTAGACTACATCTATACTGATATTTGACTACATTTTCTTTAAAAAACGTATATTCTCACTTTTGCTCAAGTTGCTCCCGACAGGTGTTTTAGCAGACAGCGGCCGACTATGAGAGAAATGAAGAGTGAGATTCGAGTGTGAAAGAAGAGCTTCTTAATGAAGAGCGGTTCTCACGTGAGGCTCTCCTGCGAGCTGGAGGACGAGCGGTCGGACTGCGGCAGAGACGTGATGCTGTCGGAGCTCTTCAGGTGAGACTGCAGCGCCTTCTGATTGGTCAGTTCCAGCGCCTGAAACAGATGCTCCGCCTCCTTACTGAAGTGGGCGTGGAAACCCCAGTAACATCTACAAAACATTCGTTCAGATCACAGCTGTCACCTCGCTGCAATATACAAGTTATCAACATGATGCACAACATAATCAATGACCATATTGATATCAACCAATACTTATGTTTATTTTATTAGCGTCAGACCAATTAGGCTGATATTAGAGCTTGTTTTTTCTGATTAAATTGGTTTAGGCTGCACAGTTATTAGTGCTAAACAGTTATCCATCGACAGTAACTATTCTACATCAGGGCTATTGTTAAGTAAAAGTAAAACCATAGAAAAAAAATACATAACAAAAAATAAATCTCATATATATATATATATATATATATAATGCCAAGGAAACATTTCTCATTTTTAAGTTTAAATAATTTAAATATAAATACAAATTTATGTATTTAATATATACAATTATTTTTATTTAAATAATAATTAATAGACATTAACTGCATAGACACCAATAAATAAACAAACAAATAATGATAATAATATTAATAATATTTTAAATAATATTTTTAAAAATGTATAAAAAAATATATTAAATTAAGTATAAGTGTGTGTGTGTGTGTGTGTGTGTGTATAACAAAATTACACAAAAATAATAATAAAATTATTTAAAATATTTATAATAAAAATGACAAAAACTTTAGCTAAAATGAAAACTGAAAACAAAAATAAAAACATTCAAAATATTAACAAAACCTACTGTAGTAAATATAATACAGCATTACAAACTAAAACATAAAATCTAGTCATATTTAAAAAAACAAATAATAAAAATGACAAAACACAGAAATGTACTAAAACTTTAAAACTAAAATTTAAATGAAAACAGAAAACAAAAATAAAAACATTCATAATATATATAAAAATACTAATAACAGATACTAAAATAACACTGACTGTAATTTTTTGATGCCTGTTTTTTTCCCCCAAATCAGCTCATTTAGTTCTGCATTTCAGTTTTTGGCATTGAGTAAAATGTCTGTATCAGTGCAGAGATTATTTGGACATCAACAATCATGTTATAATTATTAAACAAACACATAATGACTCACTTTCTAGCGACTGATTTGGCCTCAGAGTCAGCATCGTGAACTCCTTTCTTAATGGTTTCCATCAGGACGGCGACGTGCCTGAGGAGACGAGAGGATAAAAACTGTGAGTCCATT